CCTCCAGGGTTAGGGTTAGTTTTTTTGTTGCTTGCCAGAATAGGCTCTGGCATCCCTGTGACCCTATATTGGATATAGTGGTTAGAATGTGGGTGGCTTGATAGCCCTGTTTAACTTATCACACTAGTTCAGTATTCGCCAGTTGAGTTATAAGCACATTGAGCTCCTCCTACAGATCAGAAGTGTTACTCCTTTGTTTTTCTGCTTCATTCCAACCTCTTCCTTGTTTCTGGACTTCACGGTGTGCCAGCTTTTGCTGACTGAACAAAGCTGAGTAGTTGTCGGGCTGACATTACAAGAGTGGTTCCAGAAGTAAATTACAGTACTAATTTTGAACACAATGTACATTCACCATAACACAGCTTTGCAAAACACTGTTTTCTTCTTAAGCTTTCCCTGGGCAGAGAAATTGCACACCCCGTCTTAAATTTTGGTGTTCTGGAACAATGTTGATGTTTTGGAGGGCTGTTCTTGCAAAAGTTGCTTATACTGAGAGGTCTATCCTAGAATAAACCCTCTATGATATATTGTACGCCCTGAGTACACACTTTAAGTTCTAACATGGCTCCTCTGGGTAAGTGTACAACAAACTAGGGCAGCTCTCAGTTTTTCTTTCTTCCAGATTTTAACCCGGCAGGCCAACTACTGCTAAATGTCCAGGACAGGAATTTCAAGCGCAGTCTTATTTTGTCCTTATTGTGGTCTTATTCTTAACAGCATCCAGTAAAACCATTAATATGATTTTGGATATGAACCTTTTTAAGGGGATGGGTGCTTCAAATAATATAAAGTAACAGACTAGTCTATATATTACATATAGACTGATGGTTATTGCAATTATCAGGCAGAACTGCCAAGAACTAAATGTGAACATGACATTCCATGAAAAAAGCAAAGGTTGGGTAATCTCAGCCCTGGTTGTGGCTTTGTAAGTGTTACAAACAACACTGAGGGAGCTTACTTTTCACTCAGCCTCAATTGCGATTAAAAGATTAAAATAATGTCAAAGTTTTGTTTCTTAACTGTGCACGTGACCACAGATGTATCACAGACTTTCTACTATGTGCTGTAGGCTTGAAATAGGAATGATAACATTGCGAAGTGTCTGTACTTACATTCTACAAAATGATCTACTATGCCTTGTTACACAGGATGTTTTAAAATATCACACTGTGCTGGAATGATCTCTTTAGACTGAAATGCAAAGCAAAGCTGCACTGCACACCTTTTTAAGTGTCACATAATATATATATATTATTTACAATAAAATATTAATTGTGACATGAATTCAAGCATAAGTTAACAGTGTGAAGCCTGAAACAGTACTTAGCTGTTGCTGAACAATAAAAGCCCAGCCATATTTGGAAGTATGGGAAATACGGTAATTGTAACATTTTCTCAAGCGTCCTGATAGTGTGTTCATTAACTGAAGTGAACATTTTCTTTTCATTATTACTGAATATATAGTAGTTCAGCCTGTACCAATCCACAAACCTTAAATAATCACCACTTCAGGCTAAAGAGGTATTCCTTCCTTTTTGAACAACAGAAACAAAGCCAAATGTTAATAGGACTGAGCTGTAAGAACACTATTATCAAGTCCATTATAATAATGGCATTAGAGGTGAATGATGATTGTGTCTAATTGATACAAATGCTCTCAAGAGAGACAGGACGGTAGTACACGTGTCTCCTTGATCACATGGAGATGCAGGAGTAGTGGTTTCTATTTAGGGCAATAGAAAAGACTTTAAAAATGAATCAGCAAACACATGCTTCAGCAGTTCATTTAACTAGAGAAAATAGTCTAAAGTCCCATGTGCTTTGAAGAATCAGAAAGCTGCTCTAGGGCCCAAAGTTTCAAAACCACAGAATCAGGATTAAGATCAGACTTTCAGAATGATGTTGTCTCCATGAATGAGTGCAATGATACAGAAAAAGAAATCTGACTCCATTGAATTTAATTGATTGGAAGATGCTGCATGGGTCAATTTTTGTTCTTAAAAGTAAGAGTATATTATTATTGCTCTGCATTTTCAACAGTAAAACAGGCAAGGCATGTTTTTAATCAGTGTATTATCATTAAGCTTGATAGTGGGGCTTATTCTGTGCTGTGAATTGTCCATTAGCTGAATCAGGAATTAGGGTTTAACAGAGCACTAAATATTACAGAGAATCCACTAACCAATTCTATATAAGCTTACACAAAGGTTAACTCCTCACTCCTAACCAGCCAGCCTCATCTCTATACAAGACTGGGTATGATTTCAGTGGCAGATTAAGCTGTATTGTCTAAGAGATTTATATAATTGTATATAAATAAGGATATTTAAAAAAAATAACTTCACTATCTTAGAAGCAAACAGGCAATGCACTAAAACCACAGAAAATAAAAAAAATATACAAATCCAAATATACACTGACGTCTGCACATTGATGGCCTATAATTAGATTTTCAAGGTTAAAAAATTTCCACAAGAACAAAGTCACCTGAATAGTACAGACTCGTGTGTAGCGCTTCACTGAAAGACCTGCACTATGTCAATGGTTTATCCGGAAATGCTGTACTATAAAAGGGAAAGCTGTTTATAAAATGGATGTTAAAGTGAAATGTACATCATGACAAACATTTCTTTTTTGGAAAGTATGATGAAACTGCAGACTGTGGTATTTAGAATAATTTAGAATAATTTCAAGTACAGTATACACACTTTTTTTCTGGTTTATATGAAGCATTTGAACACATTGGTAGTCATACAGTATGCTTGGTGAATGTTGTGCCATTATAATAGAGTTAAATTAATTGGAGACAACTCAAAAGCTAATTGGGTTACTTTCTGTGAATGAAAAAAATTAGCTGCAAAAGTTAAATGCTTGCTAAAATATGGCTACAAAGTTCAGTATGTGCACATAGAGATATTAACTGTACAGACTTAAACTGTAGTTGTTTTGTCGGATGCAAGTTAAGATTTACCAAAAAGAATAGAAAGTTCTTCACTGGAGCAAAAAGCTGTAAAAATGATCGAATTCATCCTCTTCATTAAATGTAAATAAGCTATCAGTAACAAATCCTGAAATTAACAGGCTAATGTTACTTTCCCTGACACCTGAGGCAATGTGGGATAACATACTGTATGCTTTGTTTTTCTATATATATATTTTTAAATGGTGTATAATAGCTTTGAGACTTGTTTTTTCTCCTTTGAGCTTCCCTGCAACCAGAGAAAGCCATTTATCCTAGATGCCTGATCCAAGGATTATTCCTGGAACATTAAGCCTGGAATGCATCAAAATGTCTTGACAGGAACAACACTGTTAGATTCACTGGTTAGTTACTAGTAAGAGTATGCACGTCATAATTCAGGTAAACAGTGGGGTCGAGTATTTTACGTCTGTAAATCTTCAGTTTAAGGAATTACAAAATGACATTTTAGTAATGGATAATAAAAGTGCCAGCTAATAAACCTATACATTTTTTCTTAAACCCAAGGTTGAAGTTTCCTTATTCTAAGAAAATACTGTTGGATAGAAACAATAGAACAACCTCACACAAATATAATCTCTGATATTGCTTTAAACGGAAAATACTATAGTTTTTTTTTTATAAATAAATGACCTGTTCTGTTCCATTATTGCCCTATCAGTCTGAACAGATACTTCTCTGCAGGACTAATATAGATAGCAATGTCTAAATTGTAGGGAAAAAGATGTCATGACATCACAAATGATATTACCTGTTATAACATTAGCAATCTGTCCTATATTATTTTACAATTTAATTTTACCAGCATGCATTGGCATAGTGTAATGTGCAAGATGAAATAATATAACCTGATTGTTATCAACCTTTATACCTCAGGTACAGGAAAGTTTCTGTTTGTTGCACTTATTTTACAGTTTGTATGCAAAGTATGCTCACTCTTCATCTGAAAAACATTATTTACTATGCTTTACTACAGTATTTCTTTAAAAAAATATTGTACACTGATCCATTGTAGTGAGCAGTAACCACTAGATCTTTCTTAGATAAATCAGTCCTACTGTGGAAAAAACTAAACCAATACACATTAATATCTTTATGCATTCGTTGTAAAGTAGGCCACTAAAGCTGACCTGTTTTGAACACGTAGATTAAATCGGTCTATTAATAATAAATCAGCAATGTGCACTAATGTAAAGAACACTATAATGACTACTACTGCTAACTGTGCCTGATGTTAGAACTTTCTTGGTAAGTAGGTAAACTAAGCAAAAATTGTACATCTTGATGTTTAACAAAGAAAATCTTGAAAAAGAATATTCAGCTCAAGAACAGACAAAGTCAAGATATCTGACTTATAGTAGTTTCACTAATGAACTTATAAAACACATTTGTTGTGATCAGCTCCAACAGACTAATAGGATTCTGCAATAAGATTAAATCACAACTATTAACAGTGCACGGGGAAAGTAGAAGGGTACATCATGCCATAGATTTGAATAAAATATATTGTTACAAAGCACGTATTGATGATTCTACGAAGACGCTCATAGAAATTCCTGAAATGATACTTGCAAAGCGTGGAAGCAAAAACAAACCCAAAAATTCATTCTAGTTTCGAACAGTTCAGCCAACAGTTAAAAAAAAACTGAGGAGAAGCCTTTGTTTTCAGAAAAGTAGCCAAAAGCAGCCGGTTAGTTATGCCTACAAAGAAAATAAGAGTTAGGCCGATACCCACACCTGCATACAAAAACACAGCCGAATGAGAAAAATGAACGGTTATAACATTCCCGCAACTTTGCCTGAATTTCCTTGATCTAGGAGAGAAAGAAATTGAGTGAATGTGTGTTTAAGTCCTCCACGTCCTGTGCCCACCACAGCTCGTCCACGGCTCCCGTGTCACCCCAGCAGGAGTGGGCGGAAAGACGCAGCAGGCCCGGGAGCCACCCGCAGGAAATAAAGAAGAAGCGCATCAGCGACGGACGGTTGAAGATAGGAAAACACGGTGGCTGGCTCCTACCTGTTTGGCTGAGCTGCGAGGTGCTCCGGCTTTTCCTCGAGAGCCCCACGATCGCCACCATTTTGGCACCTATGCTAGAGCGCCTCTTCTTGCCGCCCGCGCCCACCGTCCCCACGGCCGTGTCCGACTGGCTGCCGTCGTTCTTCTCCAGGCTGTACATGTCGCCGCTGATGCTGGTGCTTTTCGTCATGTTCTTCCCGGGCGCTCCCATCTGCCTGTTTTTCATTTTGGACGTAAAGTCACTGTCAGCCCCCCCCGGTGGACAGGTTTTATTAAGCGGAGTCAGAAAGCAGGGAAGAATGGGGACAGAGGAGGACAGCAGAGGGGGACAGGGAAAAACAAGAGAGACAGAAAAGGACAGGCTTCAGCTACAGGGTCTTGGGAAGCTGAAGTGTGGCTAGGCTGAGAGGTATGTCAGCAGGTGCTACATGGACACAATCCATGATACTACAGACTCCTCGCTACAGACATATCAGACAACGATCAACCATGATCAATTCAAACAATAATCAAACAATGGTCAACAAGTAGATTGAGGAATGCTTTAATACCATCACTAACTGCAGGAACATCCTTTCACTTGCAAATGTCCATGAAAGGATCTTTTTTTAAAGAAAAAAAAAACAGTTCTGGAAAGTGCAGAATTCCTAGGCACTACAGTTCATAAAGTAATACCGTTTTATTTTAGTAAAAGACAGAAAACTCATTAAGTTAATTCATGTGATTAATAGTGATACTTGACCCCTTCAAATGAAAGGTTAATATATTCACCAACTTATTTGTCCTTTGATATGTATTGTATGGTCAGAGCCAAAGTGTTTCTTTTTTATATAGCCTCTCTTTCCACATCTGTGGAAGTTATTTCGAATGAGCTTGGCTTGACACCTTTGCTGCCCCAAATTAGTATGTGGGGCTGTTGAGATCATCTAAACTTTCAAAACATTTCTCATTAATTAAAGGGAATCTTTTAAATAATGGATGTATACCCAACTACGGAATGTCCAAAAATGGAGAATAAAGAGAGAACTGTAACAGACATATTATAGCAGCTCAAAGAACTTTCAACCAGGACTCTCCAGAATCAAATCTTTTAACAGCAAGACTACTAACCTGCAGCCCCTCCTGTCCACTCAATTACACAATTTTGCTTAAACCAGATCTTTATGTAATTGTCAATTCATAGTATTAAGATAAAAAATAAAGCATTGCAATAGAGTAGATTGGAGAGCTGCACAGGAGCTAAATAACCCTCCTCTAAGAATTAAAGCACAGGATGCAATAAACATATATTTAAGAAATACAGGATGTCAGAAAAGTAATTTGAGCCTAATGCATTTTATTTCCTTGGTACTGTATGTGCTTGTGAGACTTTGTGATTAAATTGCTAGCTATACAGTACAAATATGTGGAATGGAAGAGCATACATATGATTTTTCAAAAGCTTCAGTTCTCACTTTATCTGTTTTTTCATTAAACTTTTATTTAATATCTAAACACTTCTCTGAGGATGTGAAAACACTGCAGTTGGGAATGTTATAATATGTTGAAATGAACATTTTCCAGCATGCCTATTGATTATTGCCCTGGGCAACATAAACAGTATGTGAGCAAAAGACTCAAATATTCATATGGTACTTTAAGATGTTGTTAGCAGAGGTTTGTGCTCATATATTTTTCAGATAGCTGACTTTACTTTACGATTACTCCCATCTTGCTTTTAAAACAACTCCCTGTTTATCTTAAATCATCTTGTAAATCAGCTGCTGTCTTAAACTGTCTGTAAGCAAAGTTCCTTATCTAAAGCCACCTTTAGAATTTAAATAAAAATCCTCACTACAACAATTGTGAACTCTTTTTTTTAAACGTCTAACCTGTACTTCAGCAAAACAACCTTTATCATCACTTAAAATCTTCTGGCATTAGAATGAATAAATGTTCACGCTTTGAAAGCTAAGCCCAAAGGAATCACCTTAGACATATTAACTGTGACTATGACTGTACTATTTAAAAATTTGGTAGTGTACTTTGGCTTAGACCCAGTTGAAGAACAGTATTATGAAATTATACTTAAAGAATAGAACAGCAGTCTTGTTTCAGCACATTGTGTTCCCAGGAAACTGACACCAAATGTTCTACTTTATGTTCTGAAATTTCTAGAAGAGCTATTACAAATCCTAGTGGATTCTGAGATATTGCCAATATGTTCCTTTTATTCTTAATGAAAAATAATTACTGCAAGAATATATTGAAGGTAGGGTCTCTTAACCAATATACCACTTGAATTCAGAGACAGATGTGATGGAAGCATTTTTTCAATATTCTGGTGTTATTACTGTATACTGAATTCATTCTTCAATACATGAACCAAAAATCAAATTCATCTTTACATCTACTGTAGAAAACATCTTTATAGTGGAAACAAAAGACAAAAGATAATTTATTTACAGTATATGTTTAAAGTAATGTTGTTTAAGAATCCTCATTTAATTATTAGAATTTCCATTTTACCTAGCAAAAAATCCAGTGCCTACAGTATTTTGTATTTTTATGCTTATTTTTTTAAGTAAAAAAGAAAAAACAAAATACTGTAACATGCATCTGCTTTTCAAGCACCACTGACAAAATTAGTTTTAGATTCTACAATTATTTTCATCTTTACCCTTTCAAATTAAGGGATGATAGACTACATGCACAATTGATGGAATTATTATATAATTATAATGGCCCAAATTTAATTACATTCATAATTTATTTATCATTTAATAATGAATTTAAATCATAATGCCCTGAAAAGGGCTACACAGCCAAAACGTTGTGTTTCTCTCCTTCTCTTTCCAGTTTAAGGAATAAACCTTCATTGTTCCTTTGAAGCCTATGCATGCTGATGCAGTTACCTACAGTACTTGAACTACATTTAATGTAGTCTGTTATGCCAGCTTTATTTAGTCTCACAAACAAGGTATTTCTTAGTACTGTAAGTAGGTTTAAAGTAGATTTTATACCGTAGTTACATTCTTGCAAAAAATCGTGTTTGCATGAGAATAATCAAATATATTTGAGAGCTCTAGCATCTCTGAATACATTTTACCACTAACTTGAAAGACGTCTATCTTCTGTGAAAATATCGACTTGAAGCAAAAGTAATTGTTCTTTTATATTATAATTTCATTTAATTACAGACATCTTTAAGGATCAAATTTGTTCATGCCTATGACTTACAAGCTAGAATGCAAGGCGTATACAGTATACAGTATGGTTTGTTAATAATCTCTCTGGTATTCCAGCGGGCAAAAACCAAAAACTCTTAATCCAGTAGTAATCACTACTCTATAAAATACATGATTGAAATTGTTGTCATCTTTATGTACCTTCTTGAATACATACATTTCCATGAGCTTTCACAATCATATAAATCCCTTTTTCAAGTTATGAGTCTTAATAGATGGTGAGAGAAAAAAAAATCTGTAGGAACATCCCTGTCTTTTATATAATGTATTCACAGTGTCCAATTATATCATTTTGGTTTAATTTTAATTCTGGGGATTTATAAAAACAACCATTTTGCTTAGGATAATAAAATACAAAGGTGCTTCTCATGCTCGGAAACACCTACTGGCAGCTTCACAAAAATGAAATATATTCCATGTTTAATAACTTCAACAAACCACTGTTGCTTAATTAAATAAAGGATTTATTTGGGGAAAAAAGACCTAGCAATATAAGACTCATTTTTCCCATGTTATTATTGTTCTGCTTACCAGCAACATTAAAAACAGCTACCCACAGCCAAATAGTTACAGCAGTGATGAATTTCAGTATTATGTTGCAACATAAATAAAAAGAGTGCTTCAGTATCTCTTTTATTTACTAAATCTGCAGCTTCATCAATTTAGCTCTTGAATGAATTTAACGATAGAGTACATACAGTATACATACAAGTAATAGGTTTATTCCATGCTGAAAAAAAGAAGAAAGAGAACACAATGTTTCGGCCGTGGAGCCTTCTTCAGGTGCCACACCTGAAGAAGGCTCCACGGCCGAAACGTTGTGTTCTCTTTCTTCTTTTTTTCAGCATGGAATAAACCTATTACTTGTTCCTTTGCAGCCTACGCATGCTGACGCAGCTACCCACCTGAACTACAGTATACATACAGTCTTGTCAGCATTAACAGACATGTTTACATGTCATCAGGAAAACACACTCAAAATATCCTGGAAACTCTGTGCTCTGGACAGTGGCACCTGATTGACTGTGTCATTCTCTGTGCCCAGTAACCAAAGCAATGATAACAACTTCTAGACCTAATATCATATTATCTGTTCAGTTATGTCTAGCCAATTGGCACTAAATGTATGCAGAAGGAGCAACATCCACTAAATGTCAAGGATCAAGGATCTAACCAAATGAGAAAATCTCAATGAATACATTAGGGAAGAGCTCTCATGCACCAATTGGGAACACAAGAAAAGTACTCAGACCACTCAGAAAGACCTCGAGATAAATACCACCAACCACTGCAAAGAAACACCTGGATTTTATATGAGGAGACACTAGCATTGGCTAGATAAAAATCTTTTGATCACAATTGCAAGGCTATCTGTTCGTTGCACAGTGGCTTAAAAATCTATTCTACCACCAAGTATAGGAGGAGGTTCAGAGATCTCACGACATGAAGAACAAAGACTAACAAGAACTATTAATATCCAAAGTATCCAAGGAGGGTATATTCAATCTAGAATCCACTGTCAATTTAACTTTGTCCCACAACACCCAATTAGAGATGAGCTTGGCAGGACATGAATGACTTTCTGATGACCACAGTGAACAAAAACCAACACTTCACCCTCGTTGATTATTATACAGTTCTGGAATGATGGTAACCCTAAATGTTTTCAACACTATGATCACAACAATCTGGGAGAAAGGAGACAAATCCAATGACACAATTTCAGATGGATCTTTCAGATGCCCACTGCAGCTAATATCTGTATCAGTACTGTAATTCCTCTTGCTGTAAAGCTTCTCCTAAAATAACTGTAAGTTCAGACTCTCAAGAGACACAGCCGACACTTTTTACAGCCTGTCAATTATAAGATAAATGTCACGGGCAACACTAACATGTCTAACAGCATTGTATGACTAGACAAAGATGGCTGACACAGTAAATTATGAGGAACTCTGGATGATTCTACTGAAGTATGGATGTTTGGGAAA